ATATATAATATATAATAATATAATTAAGTCAAAAACTATTTAATATTGGACTCATTTCGAAGGTATTAACGAGACGATTATAATGGTGTAACTTGTTAAAATAAAAATGTATTTTTTAAACATGTTTTAATTGATATACGATTATGTATGTTAATTTGATAAATGTTTAAAATGAAACATTTAAAAATAAAGGACGTAAAATAAATTAATTAATTAATTATGAGGGTATAAAGTGTAAATTTAAAATTATAATTTTAAAAAAAAAATGAGAGAGTGAGTGTATGTGAGGAGAGGAGGTGGTAAAAAAGTGAAAAAGTGAATATAAAAGGTATTTTGGTCATTTAGAATTTTAAGACTTTAAAACTTTTACCAAATTTGCTTTATAAGATAGTATAGATACATAGATCGATCATCATATATATATATATATATATATATAGATGCGGTTAACAAACAACATGACACATATACGTACACCTGCAAACCTATAAACACATAGGTACATAGACACACAGATATATCCACGATATCATATATATATATATATATATATATATACATACAATATATATATATATATATACATATATATCCATCATGATCCATGCATGCGTGTACATATAATAGTCATCGATCATCAAACTAACATTAGTACACTTATACATACATATAGACACATATATAGACATACATGAACCCAAATACATATACAACATATACATGCATAGTATACATATAACATACATATATATACACATGTATATACATATACTACTTGTACGTGCAATTAAGTAACATATGCGACATATGCATGCATACATATACACATGTACACCTAACAAATTATACAAAATAAAACAAGGTAAAGCTCACATGAATAAGAAAAACTTGTAAAAACACAAAAAATCATACAAAAAATCAATCACCGTCGGTGATTTGCGACGGATTACCTACGGATTCCAATGTCGTTAGTGATGTGCGACGGTTTTCCGAATGATTTAACAATTATAAAAAAAATTAAATATCCATGGGTGAGACGGATTATTGGCTGATGTTTAATTTTTAAATTATTATATCCATAAGAAAACCATCGCAAATCACCGACAAAATTGGGATCCATTGGTAATCCGTCGCAAATCATTCATGGATTTTAGATTCATCGGTGATTTACGACGGAGGGTTTATTTACTTTTTACTTTTTTAGATTCATCCAATTAGATGGTTAATTGGATGGTCATCAGATGGCTAATTGGATGTTGAAATTTCCGGTTGTTCCAAATTGGATGTTGAAATTCCCAATCCAATCTAATCCAGTTATAATTATAGTCAACTGATTCTAATTGGATCGATTAATTTTTTGCATACCCTTATTAGATAGTTGACATTTATGCAAATATTATCTTTTGTCAAGAAATCAAAATGAATCTTTCATCAGTGAATGAAATGGCTTAACCAAAATGATAAAGACAATCTTTTTGGTGATAAGATTGGCATTCTAATGGATACAAAAAAGTAACTTAGGGATCGTTTATCAAGCATTTATCCGTTAGGTGTTTACCAGTAAAATTTAACATCATTATTTACTTATCGGGTAAGATTTTAGTTCACCGAAACGTATCGTATGCAACAATTTACCCGATAAGCGTTTACCGTGGTAAGAGTCGTCGCCCTCACTTACCGGGTAAGACTCTTGGTCCTTGTCTCGCTCTTACCGGGTAAGATTTATGGTTCTTACCATATTCATTCAGTGAGATAACGTAACTTGATAAGCGCTTACCCGGATAAGCGTTTGGTAAACGACCCTTAGATTCACTTCTGTACATATATGCATTGGATGTTTTATTTTTTTTGCTGTATAAACAACATTGTTACTTTACTTCTTATATTTTGATCAAATGTATTCAAGAAATGAGTTATCTATTATCTATCAAGTGCCATTTCATCAAAGTTTGCTCTATAAAATGGCTAAAGGTCAAACAGCCAATTGAGACCATGTGGAAATGTACATTTAAATGGAGTTATTCCAAGCGAATAATAATAAATAAATAAATAAATAAATAAATAAATAAAATTATATTAGAAACAAAATAAACCAACTGAATTTCCTTCTACCTAATGAAGTAAGGAGCATCATTCACCTAATTCTAAGCCAAACCTTAGAACGTTGACCAACTTTTTTTTTAGTTTTGGATAGGAACATACTTTTTATTTTTATTAACATGGATATCCAATCTGCTATATTAACCGACTAATTTTATGACGACCACCTGCTTTACAAATAACTCAAAGTTACTGTATTTGAATCTCCATGGCTACAACTTGCTTTCAACTTGCTTGGAAACCACGCTTGTAGTTGAAACTCGGTCCTTGCCTTCAACTTGCTTGGAAACCTCCTCCTTCTCTTTGACTTCTTCTTGGATGATCAATGACTCTAGTTTATCTTCAACTTCTTCCACCTGCCCCACATTTATACATTTTTCTCTTAACAAATTTATATTTATTATTCTATATTTTAAATAACCGATCATAATTTACTAAAATAAATAGACGGTTTAACATTCACTTTCTATATTTACAATTAATTCTTCAAGTTTTTATCATCGGGTTCACTTTTTATGTTGGTTTATTGATTCACCAATAATTTATTATCACATAAAATAAAGATTTCTTTAAAATGTGGTTATTAAGGTTTTTGACGAATAAATAAATTCATGTTATAAAAGGTAAGAAGAGCTAGCACAAATTACAATGCACATGCTAGAACCACTTGGAGCAAGAGAATTTACACACGTTTCCCTCTTGTGTGTAATATATGATATATATATATATATATATAATATAATATATATATATATATATATATATATATATTCGAATTTTGATACAAGATCACTGTCATAATTAGCCTTAAAATATTGCAAATATATATAATATATTAGTAATGCCATTATTAGCATTAAAATATAGCAATTTGCAAATTATTGGTGTACAGCTTTTTTTAGTGTTGTTTACTCTCATAATAATAAACAAGATGATACGCAATAAGCATAATCTGAATCGTAAAAAGACATGATAATATTTAAAATATAAATACAATTTGAATCAAATTTACGTACCCATTGAGGTTGGGCAGAAATTATACATTTTCTACGTCATATTTGTTTGTATTAATACAAAATGATCATGGAATTGATTTCAAAGAAAAGGGAAATGAATCAAACCTTATCGATGATATCGTTAGCAAGATGAGCACTCTTTGCTAGTCCTTCCACCACTCCGTCAACGGCTTCCATGGTTTTTCGTAGTCTACTATTTTCAGGAAGCTCGTCGGTAATGTTATCGATCACCTTGTCAACTCTTTCCGCCACATCTTCGATGGTTTCCATTATATACTCCGCCGTGTCGACTACGGTATCCACTTTATCTACAGATTTCATAAGTTTTGCCATGCTTAATTATATTATATATATGCATACATGATCAATAAGTATTTTGAGAGAAATTTATTCTTACTTTTTAGAACAATTAGCGGCCCCCATTTATGTGTGATAAAGGGTAAAACAAATGTTAACACGATCCCCACAATCCAATTTCTCCTGCAAAAAGAAACAAGTAACATAAATCATATATATATATATATATATATATATATATATATATATACTTGTTTTGAATTGATCAAGGTGTACTCAAAATAACAGAAATATTGATGGTTTTTGAAGCTTACATAGAACCAGAAGGTGGTCCAGAAGGAAGAGGAACTCCGGGAGGTGGAGTAAGATTGCTACGTACCACAAAGTTCCGTCGTGCGCACGAAATGGAACCGTGATGGCTATATGACGCGGAAGCTTTGTTCTTTAAGAACAACGATGAATGAGAAGTTGGATGAAATGTGAGAGATGTTGAATATGGATTCGGGAGTGTTCGTGAGGCGGAAATAAATCGTGACATAGACAATGACATTTCCTAGCTTTCTTGTCTTCTGCTTCCAAATGCAGTTGTTGCTCCAAGTTAAACTGTAACGAATGTATTTAATTGGTGATTGAAGAAGATGAGAATGGAGTAGTAGAATGGTGTATTAATTTGTATATGTATATATAAAGGATGAAATGGTCACAGAATAGGAGCCAAGCCACGCTGTTTTCTTATGGTCAAAGGTAGAAGCTTCTTTTCACTTGCAATAATGCTTATCTTAATCCAACATGTTGGTGGTGTTGTTTAATTTACTTTTACACGTTTATTTAATTACTTAAAAAACTGAAATTTTGAAAATTTTGAGAAATATTTAAAGTGCAATTCATGAACATGAGATTAAAAATAATTAGAACGCTTTTTATCCTAACTTTCTTCATTAGACGATGATTCGCCTTAATATATATAATGCATAATCGGGAGCTACGTTCCATTTTTGATGGGGGTTAGGATGAGTGGCACGTGGTAGGTTGAGATGAAGTCGTTTTCGTCGTATATAAAAAGTTTGCATGTTAAACATATGCCAATTGGTACCTAACACGCAATTACCTTTTCTTTTTTATTAACTATAAATATGCATATATTTTGGAACATAAAGCCGTCAGATCAACCATGTTATATATAAGATGGAGTGTTAGTGTTAAACTTATCATATTCAAAGGATTTCTTATTAAAAATACTTAATAAAAGAATTCAAGAACGATAATAAGAATGTAACACAGTAACAATAGATCTAAAACTATTACAAAGAATATAAACGAAGAAAAGAAGAATTAACAATATGAAGATGTAAAGATCAGAGATAGATCTTTGAATAATATAGAGAGAACTTCTTTTGAGAGAGAATATCGAGAGTGAATCGAGAGTGAAAATATGGAAAAAAATAACTTATATTGTGAGCTAGATCCGGTGATGAAGGCTTTATATATCATTTATGTTTGACCAGGTTTGCCCCTCAAAGAATTACTTAATTGCTCCGCTAACCTCCAACTTTCCCAATAAGTGAGGCACGCCCCTTCTACTTAGACACCAACTTTATCTTTTCCTTATTGACAGAATCTACCCAAACCTGTTAAATCATTAACAAACAAGACATTCAAAGTTAAGTCAAGATTTAATAATATGTATATTTTAACAGTTAGATGATAAAGAAGATGCATGAATAGAACTCAAATGTGCATAAATGAGGATACTTAGATGCAGATATATCACTACTAGAAAACCAGGTATCAGCGACGAATATCAGCGAGAGAAATTTTCCCTCGCAGATCAGTGAGGGATCAGCGAGGGAATGTGAATTTTTGTCATTTCCCTCGCTGATTTCCGAGGGATCAGCGAGAGATTTTTCTATTTTTCCTATTTTCTCATTTTTATGTGTTATATGTACATATTTTTATATGTTGATATCGTATGTATGCATGTCATGTGTTGTTTGTGTGTGTGTGTATATATATATATATACTAGAAGGGTACTCGCGCAATGCAGCGAGACAAATCTCGATTTTAATGTTCTATTTATTATGTGTCTTTGTAGATGTTATAA